AATAATAATAATAATAATAATAATAGGGTGGGGAAAATTGCAAGAGCCGCTCAAAATCAACAGTTGGATACAACTCTGAGATGGGGGGTAGAATACACCCTTCCTGTGTGGGTCTGATTACTCCAGGTGCTGGTTTCTGTGCATTTGATGGAAAACTCCTCTCGCATTCAAGAACCACCGAGCCGTGAGTTTCTAGCTGGGGAGTGCATTTGGTATCCAGGATGAAGGCGAAGGACCGGATTCAAGCCAGTCCGCGATATGATGTAGCACTTCGGATTTCGGATCGTCGCCACAATGGGGAACTATCGAAGGAGAAAAGAATCGTTACTGGTACGAAGCCCGGCTTTCTCTGGATAGTCAGATAAGCCTTCTTTATAAGCGATGATGTTTCGTAGCGAATGGACCAAGTAGTCCTTAGCTTCGGCTTGGGAGGTTCCTGCGCTCGCTCGATCGCTTCCACACGTTCCATAGACCGCGCCATTGCTCGGTTAGCCGGCAATCCACTTAGAGCTTTCTTGTTCTTCCACGCGCTCTGTCGGTTCGCAGCTGCTTACGCGCACGAGTCACACAACGCCGAACGGCTGGGGCGATGCACAATGACCCTCGAATCTTGCAGCTACAGTACAATGACTTTCCCATACGTCCGTACACTATCATTCCCACGTCATCTCAGCACCATTTGCGGAGTAGCAGCTGTCTAGACCTTGCTGCTTGAGGCCATGTTTTTACGACGGATATTGCGTTGAACAGTGACTTGCACCTGCCGACAAAGTAACGCTAGTGAGCGACGTAGCGGCTAATGCGGTTTGCATGAACAGACAGCGTACGGGGGCTACTAAAAACGCCACATAACTAAATAGGAAGTGCCCTGGAGCGATCGAAAGCGAAGGTCGTAACTGATGGCCTGCACGGCCCATGACAGGGCGGCAGACCAACGACATCCGTGTCCGTGTCTCATCCCGCGTCCCGCCTGATTATCCCCTCGATTGCTTTGCATGTTTCGAGCTACTGCATCTACCCCACTCCATTAAGTATACGCCACCTGTGGGGTCTAGCCAACAACATACCACATGGCGGGAACGACTTGCCCGAAGAAAGTTAGTTGTGAAAGAGAGAGGTGGGAGATGGTGCGACTGACTGTCTGTCGGATCCATGTTTGCCGTGGTTGCATGAGTATGAGGTCAGGGGTTGGGAAGATGTGGGTGCCAGAAACATGCACTCCATCCTGACCCGAGTGGCTATCACCTTACGTTGGAACAGAATACGTGCATATATTCTTCTTGTGCATGTTACATTTGATTCATATGCACTATTATCGGGTTTGTATCTCTGGTGCGTTCTTTAAGACTATGTCTGCCACGCAACCTTGCTTCTAAAGTTAAATCAGGAACGACTAAAATCTTGTGTCTGCTCATGAGAAAGGCGTCATATCATCTTTCCACCCCTCTTGATTATTATACCATATCGTCTAGCTCTTTTTTTGTCTATTTTGTTTTTGAAAAAGAAAGACTTGCAGTATTATCATCGCCATAAACGTGCAACTCACGGCCAATCCACTCCAGCTCGAGATGGTGACTACAACCACCATGATCGATCACGCGAATGCTCCCAGGATTGTTATTCGCGGTTTCAAGCCTGGCCATACCTCCAACCTCAGCGGACAATCGAGCTTCGTCTTGGAGACTGATGCCAGCCAGAACTGCGACATCATTCAAGATCACAGAATGTGCCCGCAAAGCCCCATGGCACATATATCCACTACCGATAGGATCCCAATAAACAACGATGTCAGTCCCCGCCCCTCCCAGGGAGACACTTCGGAGGAAGGGGTTACCATTGAAACTGATAGCGGGGACGAGATTGACGAGAGCGCCATCGAGGATTCAGACAATGGACTCTGGGAAGATGAGGACAATGAAGAGAGTGGCCCTCACAGTGCTGCAAAACCTCTTTCGTTCCAGCGAGGCAAATCTGAGCCTAACCTCGCCCTGCGCCAATCGCTCCTCACCTCCGCCCTGCACCAAGTTGACCGTCCATTAGCTCTCCAGAACGCTGCATCGCGCTCCTCACCTGCGATCCGCTGTTTCCGCACATCGACTCCCAACGGCCCGTCTACCAGCAACTCGCCCCAAGAGGATAGTGGCCTCATGATGACGCGATCGCAGACCTCTCGCTCCAAGCCCATTATCATGACCACCTCCAACGTCCACCCACCTGCTATGTCTCCCAAGACGACAAGACGCAACATGCTGGCCTTTGAGCTCACCACAAGCCTTCGACAGGGCCTTCTGTGGGAGAGGCAGCAGAAGAATGCTACTACCGACGCAGTGACCAAGCGCCAAACGAGCGCAGATGGCCTGCCCGCCCTTCGTCGAGCTATGACCATGGACAATGTCAAGAGCCTCAACAACAACGTTGAACAACAACAACAACAACCCCACAAATCTAGCGCTACTAAGAACGACAGCAAGCCCGACAGTCACTACAACCAGTTCTTCGAAGATGGACTTGGCGGTTACAACAAGTCAGGCTGGTAGTCGAGCATGATCCTCGAGGGATTTAGGCGGATGAGCCGGTCCGTAGGCACTGGAACCTCACTTTCTCATGTTTATATTTTTTTTGTTATTGTCTTATAAGCCGCGAAGATGGCACCTATGTCGCAATGAGAAAAGCTTATATATGCAGTATATATTCGCTATTATACTCATCTGGACTGTAGGCACTTGCCTTCCTTGCTACTATCACTCCCTATTGCTGAGCTTGGTCTCGTATCTTCTCCCTCGATTTCATTTCCCTTAACGGCCACGCCCCCGTTCCCACTCTCATTTCCCTTTCCATCATTCGTCTCTCCCTGCATTGGCAAATGCACTGCTATCTGCATACTCCACAGTTTTGTATACTCGCCTCCTGCGTTCCGTAGTAGCTCTTGGTGTGTGCCTCTTTCAACAATCTCGCCCTTATTCATCACCAAGATTTGATCTGCGTTTACAATCGTGCTCAATCTGTGGGCAATTACAAACGTTGTTCGACCTTGCGTTAGTTTTCGTAAAGCTTCTTGAATGTGTGCTTCGGTGGAAGAGTCAATTGCTGATGTTGCTTCGTCCAGCAATACGATTTTAGGGTTCTTGAGGAGCACGCGGGCAATGGCTATGCGTTGTAGTTGACCGCCCGACAACCGTACCCCGCGCTCACCCACTTTGGAGTTATAACCATCTGGGAAGCTGACAATGTCGTCGTGAATGGCAGCAGCGCGGCATGCATCTTCGATTTCGGCGTCGGTGGCATCGAGTTTAGAGTAGCGGATGTTTTGTCGTATGCTTTGATTAAACAAATCAGGATCTTGAGGTACGACGCCTAGGGCATCTCGTAGACTATCTTGCGTCACTGAGAGCAGGTCTTGGCCATCAATAATTATCGAACCACTCGTGATATCGTAGAAGCGGAAGAGAAGTTTGAGCATGGTTGATTTTCCGCCACCCGTTTCACCCACAAAGGCGATGGTCTGGCCACCCGAAGCCTTGAAGTTTACGTTCTTGATGGTAGGCTTGCGCTCGTCGTAATGGAAGTGGACATCCTTGAATTCAACTTCTCCCTTCACCACAACAATCTCCTTAGCACCTTCTTGGTCTGCTACTGTGGGCTTGGTGTTCAGTAGCTGAAGCAGGCGTTCGGCATCGATCAGAGAGCTGGTAGTTTGCCGGAAGCTATAGGAAAGTGCGTAAAGTGGCGAAGTCATCGTATGCCAGTACATGATCAGTGTGACCAAGTTACCAATTGGCTTCCGTCCAGTGACGATCTGAGTCATGCCGAAGACGCAGGCACCAGAGAGACCAAGGGTAGTCAGAAGATTTTGCGCAGCATGTTGACCCATGGATCTGGAGTAGTATTGATATTGTGCCGAAATGGTGTCGTTAATGTTTTCAGCATGACGCTTACACTCATGCGCGAAGCGGTTGAAATAAGCGACTGTTTGCCAATTGCGTATCGTCTCGTTGACTGTGGAGCTTTCGCTTCGTTGCTTCTCCACGTAATGTCGTCTCTTGGGCTGCGACAGCGTAGTAAAGTAAAATCCAATCGCAATGTAGGCTGTGCCCATGTACAAAACGATAAAAGCCATGTACGCGTCGAACAGATGGGTGACATAGTACATCGCGACGAAGAGGTCCAACAGGATTGGCGCAACGTTAAACAGCAGTGTTTCAATGAGTGTGTTGAGCGAAGACGCCTGCTCAACAGCCTTCAAAACCTCGCCCGAGTCTTTTGAAGTATGAAAGTCCATGGAGAGACCCAGCACATGTTCGTAAGCTAACAAGGTGACGCCACGATACGCAGAGTTGGAGATGACAAGATTTGCCATACCGTCGATGACTCCCAGTCCGGCATAACTGTTGATCCAAGAATACAGCACCCAGAGGCCGATGTCTTTCCATGGGATGACACCACTCTTTGTGTCGTACGCTTTCTGTAGTTCGGTAGTGATGATACCGAGTTGTCGAGGTGTAAGCAAGTTGAGGGCACGCTCCAGCAACACGTGCACCAGTCGGATGCCGAGACAAGCCATGACTTTCCAGTCGTCTTTTGGAAACAGATATGGTAGGAAGACGGCGAAGCCTTTCAAGTAGCCGAACCAGCCACCCTCTTCTTCGAGCCGTTTCGCTTGTTGCGCTTTCAAATCTTTGTCGTCTTCGTCTGGCAGAGCGTCCTCATCGTCGCTGGAATCACCGTCGAATGGAATGGCGCTGTAGTCCATGTGGGAACTATTTGTTGACTTGTTCAGAAGTGATTGGCGCTCCGAGTCTGTGCTAACTTTGGTCTGTTTGGTGACAAGAACGACAAACGCATCGAGCAGTAGGAGCAGTGAGACCAAAGCCCTCACGCAGTTAATAATTAGAGGCGGGTACTTTTCTGAGAATGGTTCTGGCACTGTAGAAATCGTGATGAAGCAAGTCGTCGCCTCGAATGCAAACTGCACAACAAACACTCCAAAGTACGCATGCCAGCGGAGCGATTTGCTTGCCCACAACGTGCAAGACAGAGGGCTCCAGACAAGCATCGATCCCAAGCACCGTATGGCGAAGAATTGTGGAGCTGCGTATTCGGAATCGGCTATCGACCTGCTAAGGTAGTAGAGGGCTTCTGTAATGTACGCCAGGAGTATTGTGACCATGAAAGCCACTATGCTTATCCGTCTCTTCTGCGACACCATTTGTGTCTTTTGTAAAACGCAGAGACCGAATGAACATGCTCCTAGGTAATAGAAGCCAACCACAGGAGCTTGTATGTTAATCATCAACGTTAATGTCGCGTCAAAAGGAGACGTGGGCATGTCAGGACTTATGATGGTGGTGGAAGCCATGTTTCCCTGGGTTTATTTTTTTGAAGATTTCTATGTGGTATCGCAAAGCTGCCCTGGAAAGAGTGCGGCTGAGTTGCGGACTGTGGAAGTGACGGAAACGCCGACTGAACAGGCGGTCTTCAGATGCTTATTTACGACGGTAGGAAGGACCTGAGCTTCCTGTGAGAACCCCGACCCAATGACGTTTTGAAAGAGACCGGTGAGAGCGGGTCTAGGATCTCAGCAAGTTAGCGGCATATGTGAAGTAACAAATGAAAAACCTTGAATTAGGGTGTAGGGGCTATATATAGGATTTGTAGCACCGCTATAAGGTCATCCTGCGCTGAGTGACAGCTAACATGCACGATCAACAAGACAGAGTGCAGCTGGTAGTGTAGATGCAGCGTGTTTGTTGGAGATGATCTGGAGGTGAGTTGATGGTCCGTGACACGAAAACAACCGGTGCTGAAGTAGAAGTCATTGCAGATAGAACAGTACCAGCCTTGTTTGCACTATTAATCATGGCACGCGCATACTCCATATCTGCGTTGTATATAGTGTCAGTGGATGCGGTGTATTGCGGATAATGTCGCTCACCTGCAGATGGATGTGGCACGCCATTCCCCCACATCGAAACAAGTTACATGATGTGCTAATCTCATAATCCTTTCCCTTGTGACCTTTATCCCACATGGCTATACTCGACCATTATTGATAAAAAGGGCTCTCGCTACATGTCCCCCATGCTTCCCCAACTTAACACATTGCTTATTCAAATCATGTTCATGGGCCTAGATGCACCTATCTAGCACCACAGAGAGAAGACGCTGCATTGGTTAGAGTGCGCAAGGACAGTGATAGGCGCTTGCATCAGTCGTTTCCCGATCCTTCCTATTCGTGGCAAATTAATTCTTGTCCTTCGCTTTATCTGGACGAAAACCTTACAATCGCCCGATAACACAAGCTTGGACCGTCCTATGCAGCCGCATGAAACTAGGAGCCTTTCATTCGGCTAGACTGTCTTCTTGTGGGGATCAGCCATGGCAAATACATTGGGTACGTAATGCCTCGAAGCGAACCCGCCACAGGTCAGCGGATATCGTGCGAGAGCTTACACCGAGGCTTTCCATAGACACCTCCAATGCATGCGATTGCAGCTACCTCCATACCGTTCCAAGCGGTCAACTATGGCTGTCGACAGATTGAGGCAGCAACGGTTCGCCATGTAGTGAGTCAAGCACGCTTGGATGTACTGTGATAAGAACAGGCAGTAGAGAGTCATGGTGTGTTCGTGGCAAAGGCGGTTTTATTCGAAACAACATCTGCATAACCTGGGGGCTCACCCCCTCGCCCTCCAAGTTCGGTCCACATTCCCGCACACTCGATGGCTAGTTGTCCTGCTGTGGAGAGGCGTCCCGGATTGGATCGTAAGGCAATTTCCCTGTGGGCGCCGTGGTGGCGGCACCTGTCGACACATTCTTTTTCGCCCGGTTTTCCGCCCTGTTCGCTGAGGCACTGTTAGCACCAGAAATTCAACAGCCGATCACTTTACGTGCCCTCGTATTTCTGTCCCTTCAACTTGTTTATCATGCTTTTCCTGACATCATCGCTCGTTGCTTCCAGAAAATCCTGATCTCTAAGCCGATTTTTAATCCTATTGATTACTTCCTCCTGTTTCTGCTCGGGAACTTGTGACCAGGTGAGGAGAGAAGACTGTTGAAGTTCTTTCACTTCTGCGTTTATGAAACTCTATTCATGGTCACAAAAGACCATCAGTAAGTGGGTAGATATACACTCTTACGTTATAAATCTGCCTATCGCCAGGTTTGAGCTTATCCTTGTAACTAGCCTCTTTCCCTGTTGGAAGCGGCATCTTTGTTCGTCGGCTCAAGCGTTCTTGCTAGATACCCGTGGACAGCTCAGACCCCGCATAGCTCTGACGTTGCCTGCTGGTCAAAGCGTGTCACTACTAGCCTATCAGCTGCACGCACGGCTGATTTTGCCGCTACACCTCTCTGTTGTCGTGTGGCTTGAGCTCTGCAGGCCCCCCTGAACCCTTCCCACAACTTGCTCCTACTACATCTGCAGTTCTTCAGGGTGACGTTGGGTGCAAGACGCCTGCTCGGTGTTGCGCGACGTTGCTGAATAGGCCAAATCACGCGATCATAGCAGGAGAGTCTGTGATACATTGCACGGCCATGCCACCAGACCATCATTGGCAATGCGTCAATGCTTTGGGTCACCTCGGCTCACTTCCATTCTGGAACGCGGCGACAAGGAGCATCCTGGCTGAATCCGCCGCCAAGCCACGCCACACGCACTCAGATCAATTCACGACTTCCCGGGACCGACTCGCTCGCCGCGCCGCGCTCAGACCAATTTACCACACCTACCTAGTCATTTTAGCGCCATCGCTACGAGCCTGTGCATTCGGCCCCCGTCGGCTGCGGAACGGCCCCAACCAAGTGAAGCGGCATACTAAGCACGGTTCAGCTCACCCCACATTCAGTCGCTTGCTGGCTTCGGCCCCTGTGGTTTGCGCTTGGATAGCCTGCATGCAACGTAAGAGTGACAGTGAATAGCTCCGTGAGAGGAACACAATCTGCTCGTCTGCGCGTATAGCGACATGTTGCATTTGGCATGGAAGAAGCGTCGCGCGTTTCCTTTCGGCTATTTCTTGTTCTCTACGAGCTGATATCCTTTCTCCTCAGTAATCTCCCAATGAGTCTGCTTGGAAGAACAATGACCGATCCCAATAAAAGGTAATCCCTGTCGGCAAGCACGCCGCAATGCGGTCATGGGTTGTGCGAGGCCCTTACTGCCTGGGGAAATCATGCTCTTACCGAAGTGTTCCATCTGGTCCCGGGATATCTTCTTCCACGAATACTCCTGACAACTATGGGTTTCTGCCTTTATGCTTGTTTCGACGTGTGCCATCCTTCGGCATACGCACTAAAAAAAAAGCTCACACAGCCTAGCCACAGAGATCGTACGACCACTCACTTCGACAATATGGAAAAGCAGTAGCTGCGAAGCCTAACATTTTTCAGTTTGAGCACATTAGCGGATATGTGGTTGTGTTCAGAATTCAAGTTAGCCTCTAGGTCTTTGCATCTAGCCGGGAATTCAAATATGTAGATGCGAACAGTCATTGTATATGTTGGATGACGGAACATTGATATATTGCAAGACTACACCCCAGATGATTTCAAGTCTCTCTTTATACCTACCTCGCTTGTGAGCGGAATGTCTCCTGCGGCATGCTTTTTACTTTGTTTGAAATGATGCCTCCCGCTGAAAAAGTAGTGAAGTAAAGAAAACAAAATGGTAGATAGGAACATAGCGGAAGCCCAGTTCATCTCACGCAACGATGGCTTCGGTAAGCTAGGAAAGCACAAGAACACAATCGCGATCAGCAAGTAACAAATAGCGGCCAGATATGTAGGCCATGCTGCTTTCCCAAGGGAGAATTTGCCAGGGGGCGGGCGCCCTCCAGACAAACGGAACCAGCCAGAACAAATAGGAATGGTGAAATAAGCGGAATAAAGACATATCATAGAAAGAGAGACGATTATGTTGAAAGTAGTCAACGAAAAGAGAGGAATGCAACTCAGGAGTGCTGTGAAGAGCCAGCTGGTGATGACCGCATACAAAGGGATCCCGTTCTTGACCTGATAAAACGGTTAGCAAAAACAATCTCAGAGTATTGGTTGGGCCTTACATAAGACAGCACACGTGAAAATGGAAGCCCTCTATCACGCGCAAAAGCGAATGTCTGGCGTGAAGTGGTCGTAGTTTGATTAACACAACCAGCCAGAAGTGTTACAAGTAACAAGAAGGATTCTCTCCTTGACGCAGGGTGACGAGGTTGAAGACCAACCACGTCCACGTCAGAAGGTAATGACATCGCGGGGCTAAGGGTCACGTGATGTGCG